CTAACGTAAACACAACATGGCTCCTTTCCCCCGTGTTTCCCCAGTGGCCCAGAGGGGTGCAGGTGGTCCACATGGACGCCTCTATATGGGCTCTGACCTGGGTTCAAAGGTCAGACCCCTCAAATGATGGCCTTCCTTGCCGCCCATAATTGCTGTGTTTATTTTTAGTCCACACTGGTCCGTGTTGAGCTATTAAAAGAAACATGAACATGAGGCCTTCTGCTAATTACTGTTGGGCCAGCAGACCCTCACTTTCCCTGATTGCTACCATATGCTTACCCACTCAGAGAGGAGAGTCTCATCTGTCACCTTCGCTGTCTCTCAGTGGTTTTGCTGTTTATGTTGCTCTGCGGGATGGCACTTTGCTGCAAGTGTGTGTTAAATGTCTGTTGTTATGGCATAAAAGTGTAAAAGTTTAATTTTGTGGAAAAATGTTGATAAAAAATCCTAAACAAACCTAAACAAGATAATTAGGTTTAATATAGGCATGAAAGCCACTATCTGCAAGACAGATTTGTTTGTAATGGAAGAGAATCTCAGGGCTACGATTTCTATCGCTGCCCTTGAGTTCATGTTATGTGCCACACTGATTGTCATTTCACAGGATACACAAGAAGACAACAGATGAAGCAGATAGTTATTACAGAGCCATTGCTGGCAAGTATCAGTAAATCTGGTTGGAACACTTAAGGAGGCAGTAAGTAATTGGGTCGATTTAGACCTATTTGTGGTCAGAGGGAGGTTGAAATAAAGCAGCAGAGGCGGCCATCTTGCTGAAGTTGTGAAGTTTACAAAGGTTTGATTGCAGTAGGAAGCTGGTTGTGTGGATTAGCAGATGGGCCTGGACAAAGAGAGTACACGCTTCTGTTTAGTCTTAGAGGCTGTTGAGGTGCTGCAGACATTTGATATGACGATTAGAGATCTGTTAGTGAGCTTGTCCCAAACTGAAAAGAGTAGAAAACGAGCTATTAGATTAATCAAAACCTCAATAACTGAACAATAACTAAAAAACTGGGATTCTTCTTCTTTTTTAAAATAAAAAAAATTATTAATATGAGTTATAGCCACTAATTTGCATTACTTTTAATGTGGATGTTGAATTGGCACAACACTTCGCCGTATTTATGTGTTGATATAGGCACTTTACCTTGAACTAGCTCTTTCATTTCAACATTTCCTGATTTGTAGCCACTTGTTTCTTGCTGCTCTCTTGTCCCTCAATTCCAGCTTATGCTGCTGGTAACATGTATGTCAGCAGTGAAGCAGGAGCTGTCATGAAGGTGTCTGGATAATGTCAGACAGCCCAGGCCCACCCGCCTTGCTCTGCCCTGATGGATTGGGTTTCCGCCTCACCTAGATGCACACAAAAATGCAACTTCCTGCAGAAATTAATCATTGAGTGGGGGAAAATAGATATTCGCAGGAGAGCAATGCATTATACTTCTCAGACTTTAGAAATGTCAGAGGGAACCCAAAGGCAGACCTGTTCATGGTCAATATCCAAAAGAAAAGCCATAACATGAGGATGACTTGGATCTGGCAAGTTTAAGAAAATTGATTATGACTGGCAATTAATTTGCTTGATGAGGCTCGCAGTGTGGAAATCCTAACTTGTTTGGTCAGTAAATAGAGTGGAATTATTTGTTGTTTAAGACATGCAAAAAACTATAAATAACCTGATACTAATCTGTTTCGTTAGTCCTGAAATCTAAATCCTGGGCTGCGGTGTAGTAGCACACCATGTACTGTTCTGTTATTAATGTGACTAACACTAACTTATTATTCTACACAGTGAATAAAAAAGAGAAAAAATATGTGTTAGTTGTAACAAAGCTGAGATTGTGTGGAGTTCATCCAATAAACAATGGTATAATGGTATATAATAGTCACAGTTTGTAAATGTCATTAGATCTACCACAGTTACTGAAATGGTTTAAACTTGTGAAATTGCCTTTAACGTGCCAAAAAGATACAAGGTTTCTGAATATTTGCAACTGCATAAGTATTTTGTTAACACGCTCTGATCAACTGTTCATGGACAAGGAAGCTTAAGGCTGGATATTACCCGTTTACACCTCTGTTAATCCCCAGGCACTGCCACCACCCAACTGCCAGTCAGCTCAACAAAAACGAGAAGCTGTCCTCACATAAAATTGGTTCCCTTAACACATCTTCCCTATTTGTGCATTAAAATATGATTTGAGAGACGCAGGATCAGTGAATATTTGTCATGCTGACTTGAGAAAACCCAGTATGTTGTATATTCAGACCAGGTTGATAGCAAAAGTATTTAATGGGACACGAGGAAAACGTGACATAAAGAAACTAAAGAACAAAGATTTGATAACTAGGAGACTGATGATCATGTTGTGGCAGCATCTGGTAATACTTTGTAATAATGGCTGCTAACCCAGGTTATCAGGACTGCATGATGTGGATTACTCTTTTATCTTAGCATTGGAATCTCAAACTGTATGCTTTGTGAGAGCCTTAATTGTGGAAAACTCTGAGCTTTTTTTTTCTTTTTGGTTTGGTCTGCGGAGGAAACACCCAGTTGTTGCAGAAATGTTAATATCTGGAGCGCGTCAAGAGCTTTTCTTGCCACTATTGCTGTTGTTTGTCTTTTCACCCCTGTGGAACATGGTGTGACTTTATATGGTTGAGGTAATCCTTAAATGTGCCGTGCAGATGTACAGTAGATTTCATTACACCACTTTTTTGCTGTTTGCGTTAAGACATTTTGCTTTGGCATGCATTACCCCTCCGGATATAAATTATATTATATAAATTATGTGTTAATTTTAACAGTATGTTGATCAATGGTTATATCATCATTGACAGTCATTGCAATAAACAGACTTTTTGTAATTGATTGTTACAAGGAACAAACATCTAAGCAAAAGATTTAGTGGCATCTAGCGGTGTAGCTGCAGATTGCAACTCACTCGCTTCACCCTTCCCTTCCAAGTGCGATGGAGAAACTATTGTGGCTGCAGAACGCCCCAATCTAGAGCCAGTGTTTGGTTTGTCTCTTCTGGGCTACTGTAGAAACATGGTGGCTCTAGCAGCTCTATGAGTTTGTATTTTGGTAAGTTCTATGGGGTAAATCCTATGCTATGCTATGCTATGTCAGTATGCTAACATGGTCACAATGACAATGAGAACAGGCTAATGTTTAGGAAGTGTTTACCAGGTTCATCATCTTAGTTTAGTATTAGCATGATAATATTTGCTAATTAACACTGAACACAAAGTACAGCTAATAAACCCAAGTATTGGACATACTGAAATTTAGACTTGATGGTGGCACTAGATAAAAGCTCAGAGGTTAATCCTGAGGGGGGCATTAATATCTGCACCAAGACAATCCATCCAATAATAACCAAAAATGCCAACCTTGTGGTGACACTATAAGTCAGAGGATCACCAAAGTTGTTAGAATTCATTCTCTGGGAACAATGAATGTATGTGTAAAATTTTAGGTCAATCCATCCAGTAGTTGTTGAGATATTTCAGTCTGGGTCAAAGTGGTGGACAGATTGACCAACACTGCCACGCTGCTAGCATAGCTAAAACATATAATATTTATGCATATAACAGTATAACAAGTATAACAAAAAGCAGATCTATATGTCATTTTTGTGTGTGTTAATATTCATATACAGCACACAGACTCCAGAGGCTGTGGTTATGCTGTCAGGCTCCCTTTGTAACCAGCGGGGGCCACAATGCTGGGCCACTGTTACCACCCAGACAGCTGTTGTAAGCAGATGAGCAGCTCAGCATGATGAACACACCTGACGGCGCTCCCTGTGGCTCTGTTCTCTCGGGAGCCTTGCAGGCGGCTGGAACATCGGTTTGGGCAACGCTCCAACAACAACACGGAAGTCAACGGAAACCAAGTTTGAAAGCAAAGCTCATAAAATCACCAATCACACTTTTATGTTTGCTAACAGTCTGCTGCCACTGAGGAGAAGCCCCTTTAATGAGGCTGTGCTCAGTTATTCATAACGGATGGCTCAGTAATAGAAAACTGCTGGGGTGCAGTTGCATTGGTTTCACATTTTTGAATAATAGCCAAACCACTGAAGCTTAAAAAGCGTGCAAGGTTGTTGCAGTACAGCATGAAATTCAAGACCTGAGTGTTCCAAACCCAGTATCTGGTCTCCCTCCAAAGAACTGGAATCCTCTCCGACTGGAATCAACAGCTAACTGCGTGAGACACTCCCAGTTCCTCTACCACCTCCTAATCTTCCTGAGAAACCAAGGTGGGACTCTTGGGTGAAAAGGTCACTGTCCCCCAGCATTCCTAGCTTGGCAGGGGGGCAAGGGTTGGGTTGAAATGGAAGGGCAGGGTGAGGTAAGAAGGGACATTTTAAGTCCCGGGGAGGTAACTTAGTTGGGTTTGGCCCTTTGGCTTTTGTTGATGTTTTTTGTTGTCATTGTTGACCAGACTTAATACAGCATTCCTCCTGGCTCTACAATGAGTGTATACTGGAGAAAGGTAGCAGTAAGGGGGAAATACGACAAAACAGACAGGTTTTTAAATCTTATGGGAAACAATAGAAGGTAACCCCCGGAGCCATTTTGGGCCCTCGTGGCCTTCAGGGCCTTGAGCAGAAGACTGCATGACAATGGCAGTAAATAGGCAGAGAAAACGTGAGCTACCTGAGAAAAGATTTACTAAGTACAGCATTTACTTTTGAAGTTAACTACAGATTGTTTTTAAATAAAAACATAGAATTTGCAGATATAATTATGTCACTTATGTAGCTGTGATACTTAAGGAGACTTTGTATTGGGACAGACAGTTCACTGCCACACTTCACTCTTCCCATAATTAATTTGTCTGCTCATCTCAAATGAACACTTCCAGTATTTCAAACTGATTATCTGCTCACCAAAAAGGCCTGGTTTGTCAAAATCCTTTGAAAACCTCCCTTCAAATGAACTCAATCAAAACAAAAATTCATTAGTTTGCCTTAAGTGACATAGCCAGAGCTAATGGGGTCAAGCTGTGGTCAACTGAAGCTTCACCTCCTCGTCTCGCTACTACTCAGCTCTTGACGCAGTCTCCCAAGGCAGATCTTCACAGACAGCTTTCCCATCGTTACAGGCCCGCCTCGCTCCACCTAGGCTGCTTTTAAAACAGATAACAGGTAAATGGGTTGTTTTACCCCGAAGGCTTCTGTCACTGAAATATGGATGTGTTTGAAGTGCTGGCCCCTACAGAGCCAACGCAGAGGTTACATGTTAGGGTATGAGCAGGATCAGTCATTCTGCTGGCGTTATCACTAGTTCGTCATGTCTGCTAAAGCTTGGTTAAATTCCTCAGCCCAAGATTACTATCCTCAGGTCATTGCTTGCTGCTGAGTTTCTCTCACTGCCTTTTAAAAATGCCCTCTGTGCTGTGTGGACACAAACAAATATGCTAACAGTGGCTCTACGGTTGTTTGATGCATGGTTTTGGCTGGCTTTATGGTTATGAATTTGGCATGCTCTCATAGGTGCAAGAGAAACAGTGGAATTACTCTGCTGCCCGCCCACCACGAGGCATATTTGTCTCTACATGTAGATTTTCTGAAGTAGTTGTGTCTGTTATCTGAAGTTCCACATTGAGAGAAAGAGACTTTCCTTTCTGCCTCATTCGAACAGGAGAACTGCCAAAGCTCCATCCATCAGATAACCTTTCTTCTTTTTGTTTTTTGTTTTGAGTCAGGCACATAAGAGGAACATTTTGCTCGGAGCATTTCTATGAAGTTGCCAGGCAGAGGTTTTTCAAGGCTGGCCCAGGGGAGCAGATTATGACTAATGAGGTCCAAGTTAACGTGACCAAAGGAGGCAGCTGGCGAGGAACAGGCCCCAGTTTAAACCTTTATCGTGAGATCTCTCCGTTGGCCAGACTGAGGGACAAACCCACAGGAAGTGCATCACAGCCGACGCCAGTCACGTCCGCCAAAAATGAGCCACAGTGACTTATAAGGAAATCTGAGCGAAGACGAGACATTTGGGTAAAATCTTTTAATTTCAAAAGATGTGTTCAGTACTTCGGCCATTTTACTCTGCTTGTGTGTACACTGCAATCAATGTTGCCTACAACTATAAGAGGTGATATATGTGATTATGGCAGATGGTATTGTGGTTTCATGTACCTCAATTGATGAGGTGACATACAATATATGCAGAACACCTGTTCCCTGTCCCCTGTGACCTCAGTTTTGTTTTTGTGCTCATGTTTTTACAAGACTGTATATAATTCACAAGGGATGATTAATAATGTGATGTTTCATAAACAAAATATACTCACAACTACTCACTGTTATGTTCAGTGATAGATATAGTAAATAAATGCCAATCTTACATTTTGTTTTGAACTGAAATTTCACCATGTATTTCCTTCTATGTAATGTATAAAGAAGCTGACTGCTGTTCCAGTATCAGGTCTGGTCCCATGTGAGGAGTTTTGTTTTCCCTCCTGCTGCTTTATTGAAACCCCTGTTGTCATAGCTGACAAACAGAAATAAGTAATCAGTAATTGTTTTGTGGTTCTGGGGCCCCGGAATCAATTATTATGCCTCCCCAGCAATAATTTCCTTGGTTGATTTAAACACAAGCTCCCCCTAGGCAAGTCATCAGGGCTAATTGAGACCTGGGGAGCTCCACTGCAGGACGATGCTGGTTTACAACAATGTGTTGTGGTGCTGCAAGGTGTTGAATGTTTTTAATGTTTTCATTAATTTAGGCGTTGCTGAGGCTGTGATTATGCAGGATACTAATGTAAAATAAACTCTCACACCCAAAGTTAACAAAACATTGCTTGATAAGACATTTATTGAATTGTGCACAATTATTACAAAACTCCAACCTAAAGAACATATACCTGGTTCCCTCCTACCGGCACAAGACAGTCATTCATAGTGCCAAGGTGAGAGCAGCAGGTGTGGGAATAATCTGGGATCCACCCAGTTAGCCTGGGCCCCTATTCACACTCCGCCCTAAGCTGCCATGCATTGTGTCCCGGTGACTGAAGAGGAGCAGAGGAACAGGACAATTATGACATTATGGCTGGGTGGCTGAGCAGCAGTCCCAGCTGGCGAGAAACAGAAGGGAGGAATGGGCGACCAGAGAGCAACACTTCCCACAGGAAAGCAATCCACCACATAGAAGACTATGTTTTGTCTTCATCAGGGGGGCATGCTGTAACGGTGGACCACTGTGCTAGGAGGAGGGGTGTAACAATTTGATCAAGCAGTGATTAGATTTAGCTCTAGTTCTCTCAGCAAAGTGTTTTATTACAAAATCTCACATTCAGCCAGTGATTTGATTCAGTTTGATTCATTTTCCTTTTTTAAAAACATTCAGGTCTATACATGTAAATTGTAGAGCGAGTGTTTGTGTTTGTGTTTGTGTTTCAGTGACAACTTAGTTTATTCTCCTGACATGTGAGCCAATCCCAGCCTGTGAAATGTATGAAAAAGGCAAATTTAGCTCATTTGACAACTGAAAAAAACATGTAAGCGACATGACAAAACAAAGCAATGATTTAAGGGTGGATTAGCCTACCTGGCTGCGTCCTGAGTCCATGTAAATACTTGAAAATCAACACCATAATGTGACTTTGATGGATTTCTATTTTAATTAATCCCAACTTTTCATACTGACGTTGCTGGAGCTTTCCAGCAGTGTCTTACACAATGCCCAAGGAACACCCATATTTCAAACACAATGATGATGAAATAGACGTTTGTCTTGACAGTCATTGATCATGTACCTAGGAGAAAGTGTTTGTGCATCACAGCTCAGAATATGTGCTACAATTGATGGCCTTTTGATGGTATAAGTCACCATGCTGAAAGATTCATTATGTTTTTTGTTAGTCTTACTCTCTGTAATATAACCGCTTATTCCTCATAGTTATTTGTCTATAATTGCTGTTCCTCCAAATACCAATTTTAGGAGGGTTTGGTTTCTTATGATAGCTTAATATTTATTGATGCAGTGTTGTAAAATGTTATATATTTTATATTTTCAGATATGTCATCTGCTCTTCCACCATCTAAGCCGCATTCTCGTTTAGTTCCACTCCATCCAGCTGTTTGTGTCTCTCACGTCATTGCCTCATCCTCTAAACCTGACCACTTTGACATCAAAGCAAAGATGTGTTGTTCCCTCTCCACGCTGAGGAGAATGTCATGGGAGAATGACCCTAAGAGAGGCTAGTCCAGCCCCAGGACGACGTGGAGCCACCTGAGAAGAGCAGGTCAGTGCATTCCTCTGTGTCTCTGCAATGTAAAGGCTGAGTGGCCTGATGCAAAAAAGCCATCACATGTCTGAGAGAAAACTGGTTTTACAGTCACGTTGGGGCTATAGTGTCAATGGATGGTAACATATGACCAAACATTATACATATAACGTTAGTTCAGGCAGGCCACGAAGTCAAGCTCAGCTCTCAATTCCAGCTACATCAGCTGATCACAGCTAATCATAAACATGTAAGAACTGTACACAGTCAGCTGACGGCTCAGCTGATTCCCTCAAGCATCCAATTGGCAAATATCATTCAGGGCGCCTTATTTAAGCTGCTTTAGCCTGCCTATATTTGCTGCTTCCTCTACAAGCCGTTTTGCAATCCACCTCTACCCCAACACCTCCTTTAATGTTGTATCTAATTAATCAATGTCATTTTCTGATTGACATTGATGATGCTCTATTCTGTACCCTGGGGGGTCTCTGCTGCCACTCTCCTTGTCTTAAACCTTTCCATGTATGCACATGGAAGGGCAGGGAGGTGTGCCAGAACAGAGCCATACCAAATCTAACATTCTGCTTTGGAAAATAAACAAAAGTGGTCCTGACTGAATTGTTGTTTTGGAAGATCAATACCACTCTCATGACTGCATGCCAAATAAGAAGCTTCCATACAGAAACACCTGGTCAGCACCCACTGTAAAAATTCCTGTACGTAATTTTCTATTTCCTATAACATAAGACAAGAGCACCAAATAATTAGCAGTGTATCAGTGTCGCTTTAGGCTAAAATGTCTTTGGAACCTTTCTCTGATATGATTTTAGACATTGCACTTGCCATCCATTTGTTCTGTAACGGTACCGTTCACAATGACCCAGACTATGACGTGGGGATTTTTTATTTTTTTTACTGTACAGTTTTTGAGAAAATTGAAGTTTTCGCAAATCACAGGGTGTGATTTTATATTTTAAAATGAAAACTCAAATAACTTGTTGTTTTTTTGTTTTTTATTTCGAGTTTTTGAAAAAAGAAAATCGAATGACCAAAAGATACACTGACCCTTTTCTGTCACTTTGAAACAATTTGAATTGAGTCAGCTATAGTAGCTATTATTCTTTTGTCTATTCATAACTGTTATACAATCCTCTGCTGATGCTCCCAGAAAAATCACATCACCACATCACTTCCTGTGGATTTTATCAGTAAACGGATGCATCCAGCTCTTGGTGTTTACAACAACAAAAGCTTTCATCAACAAGGTATGGGCTTTGTTCATCAGATAAGATAATGTCAACAAATATTAGCCAAATTGAGGTGTATATCCCAAATCATCAGTTGATAAAAGTCATTAAAACAGAGTCTTAATGTGGATTGCAATAACAAACTTGTATACGCCCGGACAGTCACTCTAAGTCCTTTTTGTTAAGGGTCAGTGTGTCTGCCCTCTGCTCTGTCCAGTAGCATACCTGAACTGACGCTGTAAGTAATAAAGTAGGACCTCCTTTGATCTGATGTCCCACCCAGAGGCTTCTCCCTCCGAGCAGACAATACTCTAATTCATTACTGGACCTGCCTCTTCAAAGCTCAGCCCCTCTGCACCGGGAAACTCTAAACTTAGGCCCCAGACACCCACTCACCCCCTGGGCACTGAGGTGTTGGCTGGATGAGTCCACATAAGTCACGGTAGCCTGCACATATCCCCTCCTTAGCCCCGCAGCACCACACCTATCCCCCCAGGTGACAGGTGGATTATTGGGCATGGGTATTTCTGCATTCTCCTGCCCAGTTATAAGCACACCCGTTAACCGTGGGAAAATGTCACTTAACATCAGCGGAGATTCTCTGCAAATTTCTATCAGATAGTTACTGTGAGGTGTTTTCAGCGTTTCTGTGTGGTCAAATACAGACTGTGCGCCAGTCCAAGGTGGGGCCACGTTATAAAAACATGAGAACTTTTATGTTTATGTTCACTTGTGGATGGAAATCAAAGAAAAATCAAAGTAGCATCACTTAGCATCCCTTGCCCTTTTATCGTGTATTCAAAGCATCACTTTACACTGGCATGTGTTTGTTGTTGCAGTGTAATCCCTTGTTATGACCTCAAATGGGCTGAATGGCTGGTTGGGCACTCAGGAGACCATTGAACCACTTGACTAAAGCACAAGCAGTTTGACTTGTTTAGGAAACGGGTTCTGTTATAATATAAGTGTTTGTGTTTGTTGCTGATCAGTAACAAAATTCATTTTGCACCATGATTTTTGTTTTGGCATTAAGATTGCAAGGCCTTCACATATAAACAAGGCTTTGCTTGACTTAACATGTTTTAATTTTTAAAGCACTTTGGTTGTATTCAAAATACAGGGATAAATTTGCAGTAACACTGAAGATTAACTTCAAGTACTACAAACCATTATTCACCATATAAACAGCGATATGCTCTTAGATAACTTGATATGCTGAAGAGCGGTTCACCCCCTGGGTGGTAAGAAGCTTAAAGTGTCAAAGAAACCTGCACATCTCAGCATCTCCTTTTTCTTCCCCTCTCTCTCGCTCTCTCTCTCTCTGTGTCTCTTTCTCTCTGACCCTGTTTACCCACCACTTGCCAAGTCTGATGTCAGCCCGCTGCACACAGGGTCCCAGAGCGAGTGTACAGTTTCTGTTTTGACACCCGTTCCTAATTACACATGTAAATGATTGATCACCTGGACTTGGCAGAGGCAGCAGAGATGGAAGTCCTTGTTACATGATGGCCCTGCGATTATGTCCAAGTTCAGGACAGTTTCTGCTGCCGGTAACGGTGGAAACAGATACCTGCTATGGCCCGAGAGCTGGGAGATTAAGTTCTGAGCACCCGCCATTTGGACCAAAGACTCTCCCTATTAGCGGTCCTTGAGGAGCAAGTTGCACAGGTGCAGCTAGGTATCTATGGCTCTTTGTTTGGTCTAATCCCACACAACTTAAATCAAGACTCACTGCTTGCAACTTTAAGCCGACTCTGCGACACCTGAGGGGCCTGGCCGCTGAAAGCAGAACTCAGCTACTTTTGTGAAATGTGATTTGGCTAATTGATTTTGGAGTGGCCAGTCTAGAGTGCCCGGGGGGGAAAAAGTACAGGGATGGACTGTGATGGAAGCCCAAGGTACATCCTTTATGCAATACAGGTGGTGAAATGAACCTGCTGTTATTAGACCTCTCTGCTTTCAGGTACAAAATTATACTGAATAGAAAATACAGACATCTCCGCTCAGATTGTTAAGAAAATAAACAGTGACCTTAAGCCAGAAACCGTGTAATGCTTTTACAGATGGGGTGAGAACCTCTTTTTTCCCAGTTCTGCCCAGCAACAGCTGTTGGTTCGTTTGTGCTTTGACTCAGGTATGGAGCCAATCTGAGGGCCAGGAGGGTTTTAACCCCAATCTTCTCTTCACAACCTGGCACACATGGGCTGTGCAGCTGCACTTCCCATTGATCTACTTGGCTGCCTGGATTGCTGGCTGGAGGGAGATAGATTGGAGGGGAAATGGCTTAATTGTCCTCACTCTCACTGCTGGAATGCAAATAGCCCTCTACCACTGGCCTCCTCTGTGAGGAGAGCCCCACATTGAGAAACCAAGGTCCTATTCAGTGTGGTGAAGAGTAAAAAAAAAAAAAATTGTACATAAAAAAACACATGGAATCATTGTTCCACACTGTTTTCTAACTTTGTGCCATGGTTGTATCAGACAGGTAGTTTTCATTTTTTATAAATTTGACATTACCTGTTTTGCTTTTGTCCAAAAAAACCCCAAAACTATACCATTCATCAGCCAGAGGTCAAACAGATAGACAGGTGAAGGGTCATGTGGAAAAGGCGGGAGATGAAAGAGTTAAATGTTGAGGCGTATGTATCCTGTCTGACTTTGATCTCTGCCTCAGGTAGCTCTTTCATAGCCATCAATCTTGGCCAGGAGCTGATGGGAGGTTGCTCCCTCTGAGGACGGGCTTGCTCAGACTGAGACTGTCTCCGTGCCTTGACAGAGCGCTGGCATAGCATGTCAGACATCCACACTGCGCTGCAAGTCCACGACAGATCCTCAAAGGTGTTTCTCTTTAAATTTTCCTCTTGGTCTGATTTCAATCTTGCGTGTATCAATTCTGTTTCACAGGTTTTTTTTTTTTAATTATCAAAAGACACTGGTGATATAGGGCAAGAATGCAGGCAGGCAGGGATGCGGAGGGGGCGTGTATTAGTGAGGTTCAAAGATGTTATGAGCGAGTCTCGCTTTGATGTTTCTTGGCAGGCTTCAGACAGCAACTGACAATCTGATGATCTGGGAGCCCAGGCCTTCTTAAATCCCCAGCCCATCCTGGCCCCAGTCGTCTAGCCCTCCAGTGACAAACGCTTTAATATGACAAGGTTAAACACCTGAAGCACTGCAGCAAAATGGTCACAACGAAGCCGGGGTCAGGGGGGCAAACTTAGTTGGCTTAGTGGTTTACTGTTCACTTATTCATGCTTGTTTTACACAACAGGTCTCGTCTTCCTTCGTAAATTTATTCTCACGGAAGACTATGTTAAAAGGTTAGGGTTAAATATAGCTATAGCTATAGTTATATCAGTTTTTTTTATGTTAACAATGTATTACTTGACTACTTGTCAATAAACCCAGAGAATATTCACCTGACTCTTTAGTTCCCTTCGGCTCTGGAGATGATTGTTGTTGTTGTTTTAGTTTGGTTCAGTCTCACTGCTCTCATCTGGCTCGCTTTTTAGACACAACGGGCAGCAGTTTTCACTGAACAAGCTCTTAAAAACACTGCGTACCACCTGCTCAGAACCAAACAACAGAGACAAGGTTAGCCAGTAGCTGGTGAACATAGTGGAGCATCTAGCGGCTAATGAGCTAGACGTTTCCTTTAGAGGTTGGTAGAGACCAAAAACAGAAATAAAAGAGTCATTTTTGTGTCAACTTGATGACTGTAAGTTCAACAGACCTTTTTCACAGCAGTTATTTTAACATGAAATGAGCCAGTGCCAGACAGTGAGCCAACATGCAGAATAGTAATTGTTAACACCTTGTTTACCCTACTATTTCATGTCAAAATGGCTGCTGTGAAAAAGGTCTATTGGACTTACAGTCATCAAACTCTTAATTAATCCTAATGTTTCCCTAATGCTAAATGCTGGGTGTTTAAAGAGGCAAGTGTGTCTGCTAACAACCTATAGGTCCAGTATCTAACATAGAGGAGGATCTATTGGCAAAAATGGAATATAATATTCATAGGTATGTATTTAATAGTGTATAATCACCTGAATATACCTTAGATTGAGCGGTTTATAGCTACAGATGCTGCAGGTAGCCTGCCATGGAGTCCATGTTGAACAGCCATATTTCTACAGTTGCCCAGAAGGGACAAACCAAACGTTGGACCACACTGGTTTAAAGGTCATTAAGTGTGCTTTGTCACTGTTTCTTTTGTTTTTGCTTTTATTCGAGGCTGGGAAAGGAGACATGGTCAACTTTCCGTTCCTTCACAAATCAGGTTACCTTGTTGGGTATTCATTTTTATATTTGTTTTCTAGATCAGGGTTTCAAATAAATAGGAAAAATATGTATTATATGTATATTTGGAAGTATAAAAAAGAATGAAAAATTCCAGGATAAATTGTAATAACTTAAATTACTTTAGAAGTCCTTGAAAAAACATAATATATAATTTCTACTATCTACAGTACTTTTTTTTATATTTACAGTGCAGACTAATGAATTCCCACATGTAACGTACTCCTGTGCTTCATGATGGATAGCAAAACAAATGATACATACAATAGACACATATCTTAATATCAGTTTGCCAAGTTTCTCTCTGAGAGACGCTGTCATTTGATAGGCAGCGTGGTACAGGCTAGGCGCTGCGGGGCCATTGTGTCCTATTGTAGGTCACAATGGAACTTAACACTTGACAGAGCCAGGGCTTGTTGTCAGGAGCTGAACTTGATCCTGTCGAGTTGTTCCCATTGAAGAGCTATAAAGAAAGGGCTTTGACCTCATGGCTGTGCAAGGTCTATATCAGGCCAAATATTAATTCTCTATTCATGTATAATAAGAGAGCTGCTGTAGGTGTTTGAACTTTTCTGAAAACCTGTTTTGACACGTAAGTCAAATGTTTCTTTTCTAAAATTCTCATAAAGCCAGTTTTTGATGTCAGATAAGCGTATTTAATGGTAGAAGACTTGTTTGGAAACTGTCACTTAACCTGGCAACCCTTCCTAGGTGACCTGTCCTGCTGCTCAGACAGATGTCCTTGTCATCCCCATCACCGCTGGCATCTCAAAGTGGCGCTTGCCTCGCACACTGTTGCCCTGCAGACCACAAAAGGGGGTTCACGTTACCCAGAAGGGCAGGTAACATCAGATGGATAATCCTTGGACCTGGTAAACCGGTCTTTTAACAGGACCTACTGTCTTAACCTGGCAACCCTGAGCCATGTGTCATTGTGTGTTGATTGGGTGTGCATGTGTGACTCCCTTGGGCAAGTCATTGTCCGGTTATGTTCAGTATTTCCACCTCCGTCTGTCAGCTCATCTGCTCTCAAGAGAGGGAAAACAAAAAATTATAGAAGTTCTCTTTTAAATGATTTTCTTGTCCAAACATCTGCAGGCTTTACAGGGATTGTGAATCTTTTTATTGTTTCTAGAGGAGATTTTTGGCCTGAACACGTTGTCTGTGCAGTCTTCATACTTCATTTTCTTCACACATGGCATCAGTAGATATCCCTTAGAAATACTACAGGAATTAAACATCAGATGTCTCCTCAGATGCTTGTAAACAGACAGTTAACAAACCCAGCAGCCCTGGCAGTTCATGGTGCCACTCCCCCAGCTGTTTTGACCTCAGCTGAACTCACATGTCATCTCAGCCACCAGGCCTGGCAGGATTCTCTCACAGAGACTGAAACTATCTTTCTTTACGCCACTCCTCGAGCCGTTGCCACCCTCTTGTCGCCCCACTGATCCATGCCAGCTTCCAGCTTTTGTTTTTCTACCCGCCTCCCCCGGTACTGGGGGCAAGATTTACAGTGGAAAAATATAGTATATTTTTTCCCCCCATGTTGAGCTGGGGAGTCTGGAATGTGTGTTTGGGCAAGATTTTGCGAGGAGTGTGAAAAAACAACAGAGCTGTAAACACCAAGGGTAGACCCAGACTGGCTTCTTTGTTCCAGATGTGGAGCAGGCACACACTATTAGTGCAGCTCCAGCCAAAGCACTGGGCTGTAACCCAATACACTGCCACTACTGTCCCACTGCCTGTCCATCAGATGATCTCTCAGCATCTGTGTGGACAGGTTACTGTATGAATCTGCAGTATTTTGAATGAGAGCAAACTGTGTGTGTGTGTGTGTGTGTGTGTGTGTGTGTGTGTGTGTGTGTGTGTGTGTGTGTGTGTGTGCCAGCGCCCACAGTCAGAATTGGTACCAAATGCGCATTTGAGCCGCAACCAGACGACTGAGGAAGGTTAGTGAGAGAGAGAGAGAGAGAGAGAGAGAGAGAGAGAGAGAGAGAGAGAAAATCAACAATGTATAATTTAGACATATGACTGCCGTTCTCTACAAATGAAGCCGTTTAAATCAGATGCCCCGCGTGACACCGAGCTCAGGTTGCACCAGAATGGCTTATGCGCGTATTACGGTTAAAGGATTCCAGACGGGTTTTTTTCCCCCCTGAGTTGCCAAGGCCTCTATATGCAACCAATCAATTAAAAGTTTAAGTCTAACAGTCAGCGGCAGTGGGCGATGTTGCTGTCATCCGCTGTCTGCTAACAATTATGCCAATGATGAATCCAACGCTCGAGCTAAAAGACCAGACACACTCCGGCATTTCCCACGCGCACTATTCACTCTGTCACTTTTTTTTCGATCTTATTGTCTCCTCTCTTTTTTTTTAAATTCCGCCAAAATGGTGACAAATACCTGATTAATTTGGCTGATTTCATTTCCCTTTTAAATCCAAAACAGTCGGACTCTTCTAATTGGCCAATAAAAACCGCGCTTTGAAGGCTTTCCATAACAATGCAGGTAGACGGGGAGTGAAAGGTCATGCATAATGAATTATTTTTTTTATATAATATATAATAATATATTATATATAACAATATATAATAATAAAAAATGGTAAATGTACCAAAAATGCAATAACTTTTAAGTGTAATGTAAAAAAAAATATTTATTCTTGACATTTTCATTATTTGGAGACATATTGCTACAGATAAAAATTATTTATTTTTCAGAATTTAAATGATTTGTTCAAAATTGTTTTAATGAAGTTTTGATCTTCCTTTTAGTTCCAACACTGCTGGAAATTAAGAATGGACACACACGTATTGTATTCAAACTGTATTTCATTTTGAATTATCATATAGGTTTTAAAAAAAAGATGAATATAGAAAAATAATTTAAAGGAGTTCAAGCTAACAGCAAATATAAGGTTTTCAACAAAAACTTTATATTTTCATAAACAAGGAGTTCTTTAGTATTAATGTTTTAATTACTGTTTAATATTTATTTACAAAAAAATGGAAAATTTTTATAACTCATAGCTCAAATACATTCATTTTAATAAAAAGAAAATAATTAAAGGTTGACACACTTTTGGAAATTGGGAAATCTTTATTGAATTTAAATCTTTATTAAAATTAGAAATAAAAATAGAAACAAGGAATTGTATTCCCACTTACGTAGTCCTCAACCCAAATCAATCAAATTTTTCAACTAATATAATTTACTGCACAGGCCTATATTTCATACAGCAGAAACAGAAACTACAAGTGGAATAGAGATTACCCAAAGTAAATTATATAATAAGAAATAATGCAATAAACAGGTTTTCTTTTTTAATCAGCTGAACTGGAGGGTAAACATTTTGATCTGTATGTGCCAAGAACTTCACACATGAGTGATGTTGATCATGTGACACCGGTGAACTCTCTGGGCCCTCAGAGGCTGCCAGCATAGGGATCAACACACACACATAACAACAGCAACGTGGCTGCACTTGAGGAATGAGACGCCGGCCGTGCAGATATTAGTGTTCCTGTGTGATGGCGCCTGGAGGAAAGATTAGGCCGTTCATCCTCTGCACTGCTGCGGCTCCTCTTCTGCTCCCCGGTCTGTCCTGAGGCAGAAAACAGTCATAGAAAAACACAAATCCTATTGTTTGCATTGGCTTTGTTGATGCAAAAGGATTGAGAAAACAGCCGCCTTGTACAGTGGTAATGACAGACACCTGCTTTACAGTGAAGGAAGTACAAAAAGCTTGACTAATCAGAACTTTCATATAAAAGGGAAGGGAAGGGAAGCCGATGATTCATATGGGCAGAATCATATCCAAAAGTATAAAAAACTTACATAAAAAGTGATCTATGATGCATATATCTGGTTTCATCTTATCGTTATAATGAGCAAAAGTGGGTTCTTTCTTTAAGATATTTTCATTTTTCTCATGTGTTGTCCACACTTTGATTCTGTGATGAATATCTGGTGGGGTAATTGTGTTAAACCACACCTCAGTTTCAGAACTATCATAGTGCACTACCAAAGTGCACACAGGTCTTTATATGTGTCTATTATGTGGTGAGGTGAGCCTGCGATAATAAATCCTGGCATCCTGTCGGGGTCGTGGACTGTCAGTCTGAGTCTATATAGTCCTCAGCTCGGGCCCCAGCAACAGAGGGTTACTTGTAAAACATGATGTGCCAGTGGGGAAGATCACAGCCGCAGTATTTGCCTGGGAATGTGCTCTTGGTTTGTACAAAAAGAATGCTGTCACTCTGCATCATAGCTGCTTGATGGACAAACTCGACTGGTCTGTGTGTGCAAGAGAGAGAGAAAGAGCATGCTGGGAACACACACCTATGTCAGACACACCTCTGCAGACGTATGCCCATGTACAGACGCCAGTGAGTCTGGGCTGCATTCAGGAGTGTGACTGTATTTAACATCCCTTTGCGTGTATTGAGTACAGCCATGGCGAGGACTCATCCCTGCCCTATGACTGCAGGGCTCGCCTTTGTTCTTCACCCCTTATACAGACATAATTACAAGCCTTAAAGAGCCTCCTCACCTCGCTTTCTCTCTCCTTCTCTCTCTCCTCATATACTTGTGCCTACACCTTTGATTTGCACGGTTTTGACAGATATGCAAATCCCAGACTCAACCCCCTGCATTCATCTGCTGAAGTGCCTCACAACAGAACTGCACATATATGCCCATGGGCCTCTGTGTCTTTCAAAGCCTTGACTTTTGTGTTTATCTTCATTTTGGCCTCCCTGATCCCATTCATCTGTCGAAAATTGTGACTTTCCTATGCGCCGTATGGCCACAGAAGTTGTTTTTTCCACTTATAACAGGCTCTAAACATGACACCTGCTCCTAGAACGGAAAAATATAAATCTCACTGGGTGCCAACTGCAAATATTGCTACCATAATCCTAACACCAATAATGTTGCAGTAAATTCCTAATAGGCATAACCACATGCTGCATTCTCTCATGATATAATTTCCCAGTGACGATTTACAGCTGCAAGGCCTTGTGTGTGAAGTCAGAAACTCACCCACAGTATGAGGCCTCTCAGCAACCTTTTTTTTATTTTTTTTATTGTGACTGAAATTTTACTATGATAATAATTTGTGGCTTTGTTCTGGCTGGCTGCATGGCTGAGGCCTGTGGGGAATCGGGAAGCAGTCCAGCCCCCAGCAGGCCTTCAGTGCTGCTGGGTTCCCAGTAGTTTCATGCAGGGTATAGGACATGACCAAAATGATGGGGTTGGACAGCAACTCAGCACCGCGCTCAACCCACCAAACACTCTGCTTATAATTTGACTGCAGCTTACATGTGATTTAGCTGAGGTGAAATCTGTATCAAACTGTGCTATAACACATGGTGACTCTATTAGAGTTTGTTTAAAACGTAGCTGCATTGGCAGGAAATCCACTCGTTTCTCCTCCCACTGTGTTTTTCTCCACCTGTGGATTTACTCTGCTTGAGAGTGAGTCAATAGAGGCTGAAATATGGAGACAGGCTTGCTCTTTGAGCCTGTGGTCACCATTTTCTCCCCACACTATATCCACATGCACCTTACGAGTTCTGCTGACTCTACAGTCTGCACCACAATCCTGGCTTTCTTTGTCAGGTTTGTGTTTGCCTTTTTGTTTTATAAACTCTGACATTTAGTTAGAAATCATTTGAGTGACATGTGTGTAACTACCCTGGTCATAAAGAGTCCAGGCTTTATTCTTCCCATGAAGTATCATGGGACTGCGTGAAAACTAGTAGACAAACAAAACAGTTACAATGTGGGCTGGATATTTCTGTTTCATATAAAGATGAAATCAAACATCCTTTTGGGTCAGAGTCATTTTTCTGTCTCTGCATTTGCTTTTAAAGTAATAGTTATGTAAATATTGCACTTATATTACAGTATTTATCCAACTGCTCTTTATTAATTATGTATAAATCCTGTTGTTATTTTTTTATTAGGGTTACTGTACTTCATTTACTCTCTAATCTGGCTAATTTATGCGTTGAAACTAGGAATGTGGAGTGTTGAATGAACAGTAAAATGTGAAGTTTTTCTTCTAAAAACTAAAACAACCCTGAGTCAGCATGACCGCTGAGCCACAAAGCATGCTTATGTAATGCTGCGTGGACACAGTGTAAACAACCAAGTTGTCTGTACATGGTAAAATATATCTGATTCATCTGTTTTCGATTTTTCTCTAAAATGTTAGAAAAATACAAATATGTGAGTGTTTGTTGCAAAATTAAAGGCGCACTATTCCAAATATCAGAAAGTGCTTCCTCAGTAAAGCTCTTTAATGGTGCATTAATTGTTCATTAGCCGGTGCCGCAGCGGAAATAGAGGTTTTACTGCGCTGTTTGCCATCTATTCGATTCAGTTAAAACAGGATTAATGATTAACTTGGCGAATTATTACATTATTAAAGCGATTATTTAAATAACGGACATTTAAACTTTATTTCTAGTGGGAATTAAGCGCACTGACTATATAAACGAAACAATGTCGAATTTAATTTTATTTGAGTTATTAACACCAGATAAGGGTAAGCCTAATAGGTCTAACTTTAATTTAGATGCATTTGTCAGTTCCCTATATATCATATCTATATAAAAGAGCATTGCGTAGATATTTGTAGTCATTATCGTACCTCGTCTTTTGAAACTTAACAAAATTGTCACAATAACAAATAAAATTCCTCCTTTGCAAAGTAAAAATACATTTATTTAGCCCAATTTTCCACAAGTTCTAAATCTAATAAAAAAAAACAGTCTTGTCCTGTGCTTTAACGGATTTTTATTTGACGGTAAACGACCTGGTGGCATTCTGTCATACACTAGAATAAAATGTCTCCATATGTCCAAATGAGAGATTATTTCATAACCTATGGAAGGAGGTCCCTGCTGGCTGCAGAGCTGCATCCTGTATCATATGTTAATGAAGTTAATGGTGGAGCTCCAGTGACAGCTGGCTGCTGAAGACCAATCACAGAGCTCGCAGATGGAAGGCAGTATGTTTGAGGCTCCGCAGGCAGGAGGTGTTTGAAGAACCATGTCAGCTCCTCCAATGATGTAAAGGATCCCTTTCGCTTTTATTCGATTTTTTGCCTCCTAAACAGTTGTGAACATGCACGCTGTAACTTATTACTGCGGGGGACTTTTTTCCACAAGCAATGCACTGGACTTAAGTGTGGATTTGTTCCGAGTTTTCCTCGCTGCCCGACACAACTCATGAAACCCTCTTCAGAGCGACGGGTTTATGGACTCGCGTATTAGCTAATGATGTCTATGGGTTTCATGCCTGACAGTCTGAATGCCTCAGATCCCTCCAAGTCGGCCTTTCTAGAGTTTGGCCACGGACATCCGGCACACCAGCAGCACTCCCCAGGACTCTCTCACATTTACCCCGTTCATGGCTTGCATGCCGCTGGGCACTCACAGCACGAAAGTCCTTTTCCTGGCAGCTCGTCCTATGGCCGCTCTTTGGGCTACGCCTACCCCGGCGCGGTGAACCATCATTCCCCGTCTGCTTACATGTCCTACCAGCACAGCAATCACAGCAACAGCAGCAGTCTGGCCCACAGCAGATTAGAGCACACAGGTATGTGAGAAAGTCAAAACGAGCCGAACTAAATTGTTATATCATTAATGGCTATAAAATTCTGATTTCCCATCTGGTTAAGCACAATTACGCACAAGGCGCCAAATTTCCTGACGTGTTCCTGTTTGGAAAAATAGCTCACTTTAATAAGTCAACAAAAATAAGTCTTTTCTGTCACATATGATGTATAATATATAACACATTGCAAGCTGAATTAGGCGTGGGCGTCAGTAGCCATAATCTAACTAAATCACTAATGTCCAAACAAGGCCTAGCGTTCAACCACCGCCTCCCAGAGATGCTCCCTCTTTACCACTCATCTTATATAATGAAGGCAGATGGTGCCATAAATTTTATTGACCATAATTTTCTGTGGGTAAGTTCAATTATGGCCCGTGTAGCCTGGGCCTACCTCAGGAGCTCATTTCTACCCTCATTGTTAGTGCGCATTAACAACGATTCCAGTAAGCAGTCCCTTTATATTTGTGGACTTTGGGGAGTTCTCCTGCCCCTCTCTTTAAAAATGATTCTTGTGGCATTGTTTGTTGTCAAGGTGTGAAGGTAATATTATGATCCAGTTAACGTGCAGATAACAAGTGTTGTCAATGCCACGTGAGTCCCTCACTAAAGCATTAAGCCTAAAATAAAGCAGACTTGATTTAATAAATGTGTAATCAGACCTTTTATGGCTATGGGATTTTATGACACTTTAATATGATTTAAAACGCACAACTTAACTCACAGTTATTGGCTTTCAGGCCCTGAGACTGTTGTGTTTATAGCATGCAGTGCAGGGCCTGTCAGTTTCAGTATCTAGCACTATATTCCCTGTTTCTGAACCATTTATTAGTGTTCTCGTGTTGTTTGAGATGGTAGATTTGTTTTTAGGAGGTTAGGAAAAAGATGAAACTCTGTTCAGATATGACCTGTCTTTGACCTGACCTACAGAGAAAAGTTATAAATCAAAAATGTCCTTATTCAATCACGTTTTTCCCCCCTCTGTTCAATCTTCAAGATCGCGAGAAGTCCACGGCAATTGAGAACAGGGACCTCCGTCTAAATGGCAAAGGAAAGAAAATCCGGAAGCCTCGGACTATCTACTCCAGTCTCCAGCTGCAGGCTCTGCACCAGCGCTTCCAGCAGACCCAGTACCTGGCCTTACCGGAACGCGCCGACTTGGCGGCCAAACTGGGACTCACCCAGACTCAGGTGGGGCCCTAACTCACCCAGCAGTCCTGAATGGCTCTGGGGGAAATGTAGAGTCAAAGATATGTGCATTATATTAGCCTATTATTAATGAAGGTAATTGAGGAGGTTGTCCGTTTTCACAATCACTCAGCAATTAACCCGCCAGCCTAAAATATCAGGCCTGCAATATTTAGCATTTAATGACTTAATAAACAGAACCACTAGACTGATATTTTATAAGTGAATTTATCCAACTTAGAGCAGGCTGAAGAAAATATTGGTGAGAGAAAGTGGATGTTGACGCGCTTGAGGAAGGAAGCCTCTTATCTGCTGTATTATTGAGGATCGCAGCGCTTCTGAAGATCAAATGAAAAACCAAATTGTTGTGATTTGTAACTCGATCCTTTAATGCATGCCTTATTTACTATACTTAATTTTGTGGCTGTGTTTCTTTTGTCAGCCCTGGTCCCTGAAGAGCTCTCAGTGAATGAAGCACGACCGCAGTTAGGAAATTATCTTAAGAAAATAAATAAATCAGGAATTACAGGTCTGCAAATTAGGGCTTGTCCGCTGTTTTGTTTATTATAAAATATAATTTGTGGAATTAAAGCAGTCACTTATAAGCTTAAATCGAATTTATTTATTGGTGTATTTATTGTTTGCTTGTCTCTATATCTCGATTGATTGCATTTGGTTTGTATTTTGGTTGTGAAATACAAAATAATAAATTCAGGTGCATGCGCATTTTGAACACAAACAGGTGCACGTGTTGCTGTCAACTTCTCAGTCTCAAACGTCACTTTCTGCCATTTCATCGAGAAAAAAAACAGATAAACAAATGGATCGACTCTGTCATCTGAGCTGCCTCCTACACATTTTTCTTAATCCCTCAACATCTATCTCAACAACTCTCTCCCAATTATGCGCCGCCTCTTATGCTTAGATCTTTATAGATTGATTCATTCGGCCTTTTGGTGCAGTTTACGACTATTCACACCATTGTTCTCGTGTAAAAATAGCCATCTTAGCTGGAATCAACAGAAATTTCAGTGACCCACCGCAGCGCGCTTTGGGCTGTTTTTATTTCACAATACTTTTTAGTCTTCTGATTGTTGCTGTTGCACTCATGCACCATTGGACTCATAAAACAGCGAACAATAAGAGAGCTCAGTTTTAATGGATTACAAGTGCCACTCAGCCATGAGGCTAAATGGCCAACAATGGGCCAGTAGTAGGGCTGGGATTTGCAAAAATAACACAGAAAAGATGAGAGTTATGAGGAGTTTTCCCTTTTATTGCTCCCAAATGTTCACATTTCAGGCCAATTCTAAAAAGTGTATTGAGTTTAATTGGGGGAAATATGCTCATAAAAAAACCCTTCACAGTATTATTTCCTTTATATTACTGCTGATTGTTAACCACAGTGACAATTATCTGCATTTTCTCTTTTTTAGGTGAAAATATGGTTTCAGAATAAGCGCTCCAAGTATAAAAAGATCATGAAGCATGGCAGCGGATCAGAGGGAGAACATCTCCACAGCACTAGCTCCATCTCCCCCTGCTCGCCCGGGTTGCCGCAGCTCTGGGAGGTCTCCATGGCGAACAAAGGAGCCCAAATGCACCCAAACAATTACATGAACAGTTTTGGTCATTGGTATCCAAACCACCATCCTCACCAGGACGCGATGCCCAGGCCACAGATGATGTGAGTGGATTGTTTTACGGGGTCGTGCAGGCCAGGTGCTCGGGCCTATATGAAGCGCACTTCAGACTACACTGAACTTGCTCTCAAGGCCTCTTCTCAGAACTGAATTGTGTTTAAATGCGTGTTTTAATAGAACTTTTCCTGTATTTGTGTGTGCGATTTGAATTCACTCTTCAATGATAAAAATTCGACCAGACATCACATTTATTTTTCAGATTTGTTAACAATGTCAGTGAGACTTCTGGTGCACGGTCACAACTCACTGAAATGTGGACTCAGTGTGTGCAGTTTAGCAAAAGACTCTGGATAAAGGCTTTTTAAAGAATATATTATGTGCGTGGGTCTATTTCAACGAGTTTCCGCTGCATTTTCCAACAAATGCTATTAGCGTTATGCAAATAAATAGCTGTTGGATTGGCTATATTGTGATTGATTTCTTGTGTGACATGTTTGCTTAAGTTGCTAATCTGTTAGTGAAATGTTTTCATTGTCAAACATATTGGAAAGCAAAGGAGCGTGTGATGTTATTCCTCAAACTGTTTCCAGAAATGTAGATTAATAATCTGCCACAGAAAAGGCTTTGTGATCTGGGGGTAAAATACAGTACCTCAACACTGGCTACTAAATGTACAGATTTGTATTAACCAACACAATGGTCAGTCTGTGTGATAATTCATAGCTGGGATGTCAGCTGTCTTTTGTCCATCACCACGAAAACCTGCAGATCTGCTTGGATTTCCACAGTCATGTCTCAAAACGTTGGTATTGATTCCTATATATATATTGGTTGCTTATATTTGTTTCCACTATTCATTTTTAATTCAATTTTAAAATGATCATTAATTTAAAGGCAACAAAATGCCCCTTACTTGCAAACACCAAAATACTTCCCAGTACGGTGAATCAAAGAGGGTGCTGCGTGCCACTTTTACGCACGGTGGTTGTGTTCTGTGTAACTTTTACGCATGGACAAAGGGGCTGTAACGACACATGCTGTCAGAATAGTTTCTTTGAGTACTGGTGTCTTTTTTTGTTGTTGTTGGTTTAAGTTCAGTTTGTTATTTAAAAAGACAACACGTTTTAATCACATTGGTTACAGCTGTGCGTATTCTCTCAAACAAACGTACATTTTTACCTCTAAAAGTCACCAGAGAGGGGCACATGCCGTGAGAAGAAGGATGTGCACGCAGGCATTTCGACGATATTTTCCTTCACTCTCGCCTCGAGCGAGCTCAAAACAGAAAACCTCGCCGTTGTCACAATAAAATGACAAATGGCCTGCTATTCCTCCAATAAACTGCGCCTGATTTATGGTCGTTTGCACTGATTTGCACATTCTGGCGTTTACACTCTTTAAACACAGAGAATTAGTTATTTATATCTTCGCAAACACACATCCCACAATCTTGGCTGATCTCGATTAAATGGGGTGTTGAGCTCTGATTAATGACGCCGAATAATGCGTTTAAAAAAACATCCACTAACTTCTTTTTATCTTTTTCATTCGTCACCCTGATGTCTTGGCTGTCTGGCAAACATTAGATACAATTTGTCTGATGTCACACAGACACACAAGGACTAAAAAAAATAACTAACCAATCATACATGCAGGTTTTGTGCAGCCATTTTCTCCTAATATTACTGGTATTAAATTTATATTTCTATTACAGGTGTAACTCTTCAGGGCTGATGTCATTTTAAAGGGCCATAACATCCAATATTTAAGTGTTATTCATAACTCATGCTTAAGCAAAGGCGTCCTATCACAATGCACTCAAAAAGCTAGATTTTACCATATCAACTAAATGCCAATAAATTAACCGAACTTTAATTGTGCACTTTTCTCACACAGATTCGCTAGAGCTGTTATTTCTAAGATGAAACCATAATGTTTTAATACAGCAAAGCCACTCTGGATGCTCACAAATATTATTGCAATCAAAGACAACACGCCATACCCATTTTTAACTACATTCAAGCTGCTATGACCACCGCGTCACCGTTCATACAGGCTACATACAGTCCTGTCTTACCTTAGTGCAGCCTTGTTCAGGAGGTCTAAAGCCTGCAGTGATGCTTCTCTGAAGAACAAAGCCACATCAGAGCCCTGTGTTTTCACTCCTCCAAGCTGATTTTCTCACATAACGACAAGCATTGTGTTACATTAACATCTCGTTCTTTATATATATGTATACACCCCTCGTGCCCTTTCCCTCATTCCTGATGATTATGTGCCTTGTTAAACATGCGGGCCCTGGGAAAGAAGAGGCGAGAATTGCTGAACCAAGTGACGGGGCATCAGGGAAAATTATAGGCAATTTCACATCTCCAGATTAGAATAATGGCTTGTGGAGTTGGACAGACAGAGTAGGACCTTTCAAACGGGAGGGCAATTATCATGCAGGCAGATTGGAGAGAAAGTGAAAGGGCTCCTCGTGTAATAGACAAGCTAAGAGGAGAGGACTGAAGGCTGGGAGATGGGCTGAAGGGTAATGATAAAGGCAAGTCTGGCTGTATCAATGCTGTGGATGGTCGGAGTTATCAGATACGAGGTGTCTGATGGGTTTTAATTGCAGGATAGCAATAAGAGGGAAAATAGCTTGTTATTAAATCGCAGTTTCTTTGAATGGACGAAAGGCAAAGCAGGTCTCTGGGGTGATTATTGTTATTAACTTGAGTGAGCTGACATCTCGGGTAATTGTGAGCAGCTTCCCTGTTAGAGAGAATGAATGCATGATTTGGTTTCATCTGAAGGAAGGCTTGACTTGGTTTGGGGTATGATGCCACACACACACACACACACACACACACACACACACACACACACACACACACACACACACACACACACACAGATTTAACTGGATTTTTTTCCATCTTTTGAAAGCTTTTCCAGTTTTTGTTTGTTTGTTTTGGCTGATTCTCATTTCTGGAGGCAACATTTTCATTTCATGTAGGTCAAGGTGAACTCATGGAGAAGCCGAATAGGGGAAGGTTTTATCAGGATGTGATGACTGTTCTGTGAAGCATCGGCCCTGGCCTGAGGTCAACCAGGGTTCACGGTTCCTCAGCTGTCAAGGATGCCATTCTCCCTTCATTTCATCCCAGTTTAAAGCAAAATGGAGACAGTGAGTGATCCTAATGCGACCGAGGCTCGGCCCAGGCCTGGACAAAGTGTTGGACAGCTGCTGGAAATCTTTCCATGGATGCATTTCAGTTCCCGACCTCCATCTCAACCCATATCGCTGCACCCTAGAGACAAGTGCCGACACCACACTGCTGGCTGTTGCAGGGGGCACCGGCTCTATTTAAGGTGCTGTGATGTTGTGCCATGCAGGATCACATTCAAGTTCAACAGTTCACCTCCATGGCTACTTACACTTGTTAATGTTTAGAGATGACATATATGGACAAGTCTGACAGCCCACACATACAAGCACAGCCTGTAGCGAACACACACGTTTGTCTTAGGCACAAATGTTTCCCCTGACAACCGCAGCCGAGGGCCACACATGCTGAGGGAGCCACCGAGGGGAGGTCACATGTACTCTTGATGAGATTTCATTGATATTAAAAGGCAATAATACTCATGTTGCTTTTGTCAAATCAGCACAGTGCACTGAAATGATGAGTGATGCTGTAGACAACTGGTGTTGAATTCAGGGAAATAAACCAAAGGGAAGCCATTAGGGAAATGAGACTCAGAGCTGTGATACATTTCAGTTTTGCAGCAAAATGTTGACAGAATGTGTGTTAAGTTTGGTAGAAACATGCAGAGTGCTTTTTAGAATTAATTGTAAGTGTCAAGAAACCAAGAAAAACACTAAAAACCTTTATGGTAAATGTGACAACAACAACAACAACAAAGATGAGTTTTTATTTTAAATTTTGATATGTTTGAAGTTATTTTGTTCAATTACAATTACTGGAAATATTATGCTTTAACCTAATTTAAAATAAATCAACTGATATAAATATGTATTAAATCTCTTAATATGGATTGCGTAATGCAATAATTTCCATTAATGTACAGGCCTTAATTTCAGTTGTGTAAGCCTCTAAACAATCAAGGTGAAAAAAATATTCACCAAAAGCAATTTTTTTTAGTAAGATATTTTTTATTAAATATTATTAAAATGTTTATTAATTAATTATACATGATTCTAATGTGGACGAATATCTTTAAAGTAACATTACTTGATCATTACTGTGTAAGAGAGTAATGTTGTTTAATTCCCACAGATCTTTTCTTGACAAGTGAAAATATATTTGATCACACAATGGCGCTTAAGGACTTTTAAATCTGCATTTTAAGCTGTAATGTTCTGAAATTATTGTAATGACACTCTGTTGTCATAAAGTCTCATACAGTAACACCTTCAGTAACGCATACCATTCTAGTGACTGAATGCAGCAGAAAGGGTTATAAAATCACTATAACGCCGTGGGTACATTTTCTCTCAGTGCGTAATGGCGCCTTGGTGGTCCATATGGATGATATCGCCATTAGCAGTTTCTTCATTCATTCATGTGTTTTTTTTTCCTGCAGATTATTTAATAATGCAGAGTTCATGTGACCAAACCGAGGTTATTGTCCACCGACATTAGTAATTAGCTGTGAGGACTGCCTCATTGTCGCTGTCATTACCGGAATAGTTGTCATGTTTATCCAGCATCTCTCAACTAATTAATATCACTGTATTCCCCAGGTTTCACATGTGTCACACTCGCTCCCATTAGCCCGTTTCATCACCTGGGAAAACTTTTGGACAAATTTTCTTCACATGGATGACCAATGAGCTCTCTCTGGGTAAAAACCTGCTTATCAGCAGCTTGGATCGTTTGTCAGGAGAACTATTTTGCCAAATACAATAGAATGAAATCAAATGTCTACAGTAAAACACAAAAAAAAAAAAAACAATGGGGTCTTCTTATACCTTCAATATTTGGCAATGTTTCCATCCATCCTGCTGTGCGAGTGCGCGTGCGCATGCGTGAGACCCCTTTCGGCAACGGACTGGCTTCACCCCCGCACAACCCGTGTGTGTGTGTGTGTGTGTGTGTGTGTGTGTGTGTGTGTGTGTGGCAACGAGCTGAATTCTCTCTCTTGTTATCTGGCAACAGAACAGTAATAAAATCGAGTGACTCCAACATGTCTGCTTGTATGTCGCCTCCTACTGCAGCGCTTTGCACGCAGCTCACAGCACCAAAAACTGGTCAGTTCACTGTGCTGTGAACATTATGGGCTTTTAACCCTTTGGATCAGTGGAATAAATAACCTTTTTTATCTTTAATTGATGAGGTCAAAAATATCTTGCAGAGACAGTTTTGGTTTAGACAAAAGTCTAATTAAAAGTGGATTCATCAGTTCATTAAAAACTAGCACTACAATCCTCTGCCCAATGTAATACGGCATAAAACTGTTCTCACAATCGGATGAGTTCCTATTTAGACCTTAAGATGCATATATTGTTATTAAATATTCGTTTACGTTAATACACAATGAGCTATTTTTATGCAAGTAAGGTATCTATATCCAAAGAGAGCGATCAAAATAATGTTTGATTCATAAAAAATGTTCAAATATGTGAAACTAATGCGAGCAAAGAAAAGTTACTTCTCTGTGGTGTGGGGCTTATCGGCCCTACAGTAAATTATCTGCACGGTTTGGCGGCCGGACAGTAACCTGTTTATAAAGGGGCTAGACACACAACATTTAAGTAACACCTTTATTCAATTGACAAGAAGGCAACAAGTGGACTAATTACATGAATATGAAAATGGTTTTGGAAGCACCACAGTGCAGTCTTTCCATTTCAGACAAATATGATCATAGTGGTTCTGCATATAAACACATATTTACAGCCTTCGACGTTTTGTACAAATCTTTATAAATATGACCTGAGTTGTTTTGGACGCACTCTCTACAAACTCACATGCATGCTTTGAATGTAGCATGGATCAACTGCACAGTTTTGTCAATATTCGGTTCGTGGTAAGGCTACATGTTTTAAAAAAAAAAAAAAAAAAAAAACTTTGCATATTCATTTACAAAAGAAGTTAAAGAAATACATCAGAAGCGATAAATAATTTAAAAAAAAAAAAAACACGCCAGATGTCCGTTAAATATGCCACAAGTGATCAGAAATCCCTTATGTGCTTTGTGAATGGAAGCCACATTTCTGAAACATTCTTGATCATCCAAAAACCAAAAGCAATGTTTCACTTCAGGCCTGCTCCCGGTCCACTCAACCATCGCTCTGCAGAGTCATTGTGGAGAGACCTCGTTTGATAAAAAAAAAATATGAGGAGCTAAATCTGCTCTTAAGTCACTGTTAATAAACAGCTCCCACGCTTTGCTGTGGGACTGGGTGGTGCACGGTGCCCGGGTGCTGTAGGTGTGATCCCTGCTGGTACCAGTGGTTGTTATAATCCTCCAGGTATGGCGGCGACGAGCTGTGCGTCGGCTGCGGGACCTGAGGTCTGCTGATCGGGGTGTTCTGAGGCGTGCTGTTCTCCCACACAGCCGGGGAGGGCGGGGAATTGCAGGCCATGGAGTCGCTGGCGTTAGGACTGTGATCCAGGGGAACCTCGCCGTTTTTGTACAGTTTCTTGAACTTGGACCTCCGGTTCTGGAACCAGATCTTGACCTGGAAGAATACCAATGGGAACATAAATTATAATGCAACAGGAAACTTAGATTAAAAGTGCTATAACATTTATGAATGTAAGCTTACATGTAAACTTAATAAAAGTACAATTCTGCAGTATTTTACTGAGAGAAAATAAAGGATTATAATTGCTTAACTTGTATCTAAATAAAGTGCATCACACCGAGAGACAGAAATCCAGTGTCTACTGTGCGTAATTACGCATGAATAGACAATCACTGAGCAAATATTTGAGTTTATTGCGAGGCTCTAACTCGTCTGACTCTAAAAGTATTGATCAATTAGAAACTACTAGGTGTTATATCGTACCTGTGTCTGAGTGAGACCAAGCTGAGCCGCCAGCTCCGCTCTCTCGGGCAGAGCGAGGTACTGCGCCTTCTGGAAGCGCCTCTGCAGAGCAGCGAGCTGGTAGCTGGAGTAGATCGTCCTCGGCTTACGGATCTTTTTCGGTTTTCCATTCACCATGCGGACTTCTGGCTCTGGCTCTTCTTTCACTAAAAAAGGAGTAAAATATTTTGATGAAATACACCATTATGGAAAACGTTGGGAGACCAGTAAGTGTAAAACTTTAGCTTAGTGAAATAAAAGTGTCACCATCGCGACACAATGTGGATGAGCTGACAGGAAAATTATGTCGGCGTAAAAACGCTTATACAACAAATATTTTGTCACAGTAATATCTCAAAGAAAAACTGAAATGCGGCTAAAAACTGTCTCAAAACAAAAACTACATCACTGAGACGGGATCAGTTTATTTTGTCAAATTTCCAAATTGGCAGGCTGGTAGTAACATATTAAAATTGATGGAGTGAATATTATTAGCTTTAATCAAACCATCATTGTTTTATGGCCAGCTGTTAATGGCTGGCTCCTTCCCAGGCGGGCTGTTAAAAGACGACCCAGCAGCCGGTAGGCTTCCACTGAGCAAAGGTTCGTTTTTTTTTTTTTACCTGCAAATGCATAATAAATCAAACAGGGGCGAGTGAATATTACAACTGGCCTCATAAGGTAAAATTTATGGAGACATGAAACCTAAGAAAGCCTGTAGTTTGACTGAAGTCAGTATATCACGCTGCATATGTATTGTCTCCAGTTTGTACCACAAATGTTTTACATTAAACTAAAGGGGAATTTAAAAAACAAAACGAAAGATGATTCTTAAAATGAAGATAATAAATAAAACTAAGAAATAGTTGGCAGTTCTGTATGTTTCCATATGCAACCGGGGCTCTATTAAAGACTCTATTGTCAACTTCAGGAGCAAATAACATTATGCACACTTGACATTAAATCGATCGCATTAAAACTTCCACAAATTATCTCAACATTTACCTGAGCTCGGTGGCGAGGCCTGCAGGTGATCTCTGCTGTAATGTGCGTACTGCCTGTAGCTATTTGTGTAGGGGTATTCAGATTTGGTGGCGTAGGCTCCAGCGGCTCCCATTCCGTTCAGGTTAAACTGATGGTGGTAAGAGTTCATGGGCTGTCCGTACGCTTGACTCTGATAATATTCGTGCTGGCCGTGGGCCGTCTGTCCGCTGTAGTAGCCCATGTCCGTCACCGAAGACTCGGGGAGAGTAGGAGAGTCCTTGGAGTTCGGGTGGCAACTCATAGATCCTGGTAGATCGGTCAAAATGCACGCAATCTTCTTCTCATACGTCTGTCCGGCGCTCATGGTGAAAGCAGCCCTCCAGAGAAAAGAAAGAAAATCCACTGGTGGATTCTTTCGTTTTGGAGTGCGCAAAGTAAAATCGCAACAAAAGAACTGGTGTGTGTGTGTGTGTGTGCGCACACTCTTTGAACGCACAGCTTAGGAAAAAGTCTATAGTCCACTGAAACTCTCCCAGCTGCAGGAACTTGGTTGTGGCATCGCTCAGCCCCTGTGACACAGAGTTATAGAGAACTGAGTTGGAAGCTGCCTTCTCATTGGCTCCACAGTTTCCCCCCTCTCGTGCTCCAGGCGAAGTCGTGGTGAAACCCAGCCTTCAGCCAAGAGTGCCTATGCACGCATACCTCAGTGCCCTGAGTGTTTTTTTTCCCTTTAGATTTGCATTTACCTGTTCTCTGGGTGAACATGCAGCTCTGTAGGCCTCCAGAGACTGTCCAAAAAAAAAAAAATACACACAGCTACATATAGGTCCAGTCTTTCTCAACAACTGCATCATCCGCAGGCTGGCACCAAGATGTTACAACACAATAGCAGCCAGAGTCTTTCTAAAGCCTAATCCTGCAGCCAGACCGTCCCCTTAATGTTTTTTATGCAATGTTTTCTTAACAGTGCCTAGAGATCACACTTTATTCAGCCTATTGTAAGGCTGCCAGCCAGCCTCCCACAGACTCCCATTGTCATTCAAAGGTGCTGTCGGACAGTGAACTTTACGTGAAAGAGATGGGAGAGATAGGTAAAAGACTCGTTGAACTGATATTGCCTGCGGGTAAATTCCTCCACACTGTGTGTGTGTGTGTGTGTGTGTGTGTGTGTGTATGCAAATTAGACTGAGACTGTTAGAAAATGACGGCAAAGATCTGTACACTCATTCACACGGTATATAATGTGGAAGGTATACAGTGCACAGCTTCATATTTATTTACTTATTTATTTTGAGGAACATTTTGATGAACAAAAATGTAAAAAAATATTGTTTCGCTGGTCATTTAAACTGGAGATTTTCACTCTGTCCGTTTTATTCTGCAGCTCATGTGCTGTCACCTGAAAGCACGGTGCACAGCGCCCCCTGCTGTATTCATCCACACAGGGAGCTTTAATTTTAAATGCAGCTTCACACAGCTCAAAATGTACAAACTGTACACACTGTACTGTGCTCTGCCGGCTACTGATAACATTTCCCAAAGTTACTTTAACATTTTTAACAGTCCACAATCTCAATTTTTTAAATGACCCTTCTGATATTACATGCATTTCCTTTGTAGCCACTCATGTCTGATAAACTACCGCCCTCTTTTGGTAAGTTTCTGCAGTACTGTCGCGTTAAAGGGTCAGTTCACTCAAATTCTAGCAGTAACTGTAGCCAGATAGATTCAGTATTGCATACTGGGCCATCTGCATCTGTAGATAAATGACCAGAAATAAAAATAAAAAAAAGTCATAGATAACAGACACAAAAGATGACCTTTTATACTGAAAATAGATTATAGTTTTGAGGTAAACTATGTGCTGATAATTGATCTCTCTGAGAGCCCATAGATTCACAGACTGCCCAAATGAAAATATGCTTTTTTGTTAAAAACGTTTCCACCCAAAGCATAAAACATACAATCAGAAACACAAACATAAGTGATTGGACATGTTCCACTCTGGTATTGTTACCATCCACTATTATAAAGCTGACCCTATACCTGTTGAGTCACATCTTTTCTGAAGATGAAGAAGTTTCCTCTCTTGCCTTTCGGGGGCGCCAACTCACAAGGTTGAATGGTGCAGTTTTATCTCAAAAGACACAAATAGAGCAAATGCTTTTCCGTTATTTGATATTAATTTATTATTTGATTTCTAATTCATATATTTCAAGAGACTTTATAGTTTGGTGAAATGCTTTTTGAGACATTTGTGATTGAGTAATGAGTGTTGGCTTACACTTAACTAGACAGCACCAGTGGTCTCTGTTCTTAACTAGACTCATTTCATCTTTTTCTCCCAGTGTTTGTAACATTATTGATTCACTGTGTGACTGGACGACCCACATTTACTTATGTGATTAAGGAACTATTTAGGTTAATAGTATTGGGGAGTAGTGAACTATATGCAATTAAAGAAATCATTTAATTACATGTTGCAGTTCAGCTACAAAAACATAGTGATTCAAGGAGTTAAATTCATTTTTCTACCACTTTTGTGTAGTTAATGACTGAAACTACAAAAAATGTTGGGCCATAAAAGGAAAGAAAATGACTGTCTATTATTTTGTGGTTTATGTATAAACTGTGAACAAATAGACACTTTTTGCAATCAACTTAACTAAGTGGCTTGTTTTTCTGGCATGTGACTTTTTAAGATTATATTTTGTTATACTTCTGTATCACAGATTGTCATGTTATTGTTTTTTTTTACAAAGTGTTTTTATACTACTTTTTAATAGTATAAAGTAGCATTAGTTAAAGAAACTATATTTCTTTAGGTTAGTTTTGCTGTAGTTCACCTTCTTCTAGCATGAAGTAATTAGTAGCTTACAAAGTTTTCAAAGTAACTTCCCAACACTGTAGGTTAATGAGTAACAGTTTCATGTTGTGATAGAAACAGAAATCTTCCATTTAGAAGACAGTAAAGAAGAGAAGACTGAGCATGATCTTTATTTTTTGGAAGAATACAATTTATTAGATTTTTTTTAAGGCAGCTTTTGAGTGTAAATATTTTGCCAAATGCCCCTAAACCTTACTGTATATTCAAGAATATCTGAGAAAAACTGTGTATGTCTCATGTTATGAAACCTTTACAGACGAAATCTGTGGTTTTAGCAAGTTCTCAAGTCTCACACTTTAAACTCTCGCCAAATAGCAGTGGAAGTTTATAATGTACATTATATATTATATGACACTAGAAAAATGAGGAAATAGAGACACATTAGGTCAATTAACAGGTAGATATACAGAACCCTTTTCTGCATGTGAACGTCCAGATCAGGTTTGCTCTAATCACATCACAGAAACGTGTTAAATGTACAAGCAGAAAAAACACACATTCAAAATTTAAACACATTAATGCAAAAACATTTAATCTAACAATGTACGTTACATATTTAAAACTGCCTCTAGAGAGCCACAAAATCTGTCAATTAATAATCTATGAAGTATCTTCAGTCCTGCCAGTCTTACATAAATGCAAGGAGCAAATAAATTGATGTAAGATTGAAACAGTCATATTATTGTAGTATCACAAAACATCCAGTAGTTGGTGCACATGTATTAAATCTCAATGTAGTGGTGTCAATTTGCAAAGACTGTCTGGCCACACACACCAGAATGTGTGAGTATAAATGTATGAAATGGGGAACTTCCCATTGTCATTTCATTGTGGCAGTATTGTGTGTGTCTATTGTTTGAAGCAAAAAAATAAAGATGTTGCAACAACAAGCTCCTTTCAGGGTTTAACTAGTGTGAAGATCAAGTACTGGACTTTACACATAAATGAAAATCTGAGGTTTTGTTCCTTTTTTATTATGTGCTAAGGTTCCTGAGGATTTTTTTTTTTCTTCTGAGAGTCTTCGGGGTGCACCCGTAAGAGATGTAATGCTAGTAGTGTTTATTATGAGATTTCATAACCTGCCTTATACAAAAAGAAGGATTCCAGATAAACTATCATGTAGCCAAAGTTCAGAAAATTACTATGAATTACTGCCTCATTGTTTCTTTCCAGTTTCAGTTTTTTCTAACTGTAAAGTAGCCTGCCATCCGGTTACACCTCTGAAAACCCTTTATGTTATTGCAGAGACCAGACCCTCTAATCTGCAAACTTAGTGTTTGTCTTTGATCCACAAATGTCATTCCAGACACCAGACAGTGAAGAGACTCCCAAGGTGCAGCAGCCTGTATGCATAAACCCGTACACATTATAGTCTGATATATATAGTATAAGGTGCAAATGTCTAAAGTTTTTGTCTGAAATATTTTTTTCTGTCAGAGAATATGTAATTTATCCACGGGTGAAAATCTATCCTACACAGGGCCAAATGAACTCTCTACACTCAACCAATCAAACCCTCACAACACAGTAACATGAGACAGCTTTCAGGGACATGTTTTGTACTTTTCTAATGCAGTGTGTAAAAGTGGAACAGCTGGCATGGTTCCAACGCAGGACAAAAGCTCAGGCCTCGCACAGACAAACCTCAGTAATTACTGGCTAACTAGGGTTTGGTCTGATTGTTGTCAATATAAAAAAAAAAGGTACCTTTTGTACTGTTTATTACAAATTGAGTCATTTTCCCTCAGAGAAAGTAATTTAAATCTCATTTAGAGTTATCCATGTGATTACGGAAGCCCCTTCAGGACAAACAGACTCTAATAGTAGTGACGCTCAGACGTGACGTATGAGGGAGAATCAGAGAAATACCAGTCGAGCTGTATTCTCAGGACCTTGATAGGACGACAATGCCTGCAGTTATCAAACAGTATCACTTCAAGTACAAGATGTACCTCTCTCCATATCTCTCCTTTGCGGCTCTTCTCTGGTCTTTCAATATTGAAATTCCAACTTCAGCATTCCAGATTGAATGGATTCTCCCACAGACGGCACAGTTTTATGAAGCCCTCAAGACAAATATGGGACGCTGTGTTGTTTTGTGCTCACGTGAACACTTGTTGTATTGCTAGTGCAGAAAGCTTCAACAACTATGCAGAATGCCATGTGCCTACACATTTATGCATATACCTACTACCATTCAAGGACTTCTATAGCAGCACTAAGTGCTATATTTAACCCACAACACACAAAGGGGATCCCCATCTGTACAGTAATTTGTACATGATCCCACATATATACACCTACACTGCAGAGGATGTTTAGGATTTAATTATGAGAGGGACATCACAAAAACAAACTCCCCTCATTGCTTCCTACACCCCCGCTACAATCAACGCAATTTCATCTCCCTTTGAAAACTTCAAGGCAGCAGCGTGGAGCTCCTTGAGATAATGAAGCGCCACTGGCTAGTTTGTGCTGATCTGATTGAATGGTCGGCTCGCTCGGGGAGTCAGGGCACTCTCACGAGTGGGAGCACTGGAAGTCTATTAACTGCCAACTCTCTCTTTCTCTCCCCGCTCTCTCATTCTCCCTCCTTCTTCAGTCCTGATTAGAGATAAAAAGAGAAAATGGCAATGAGTCAAGGACTTTGAGCCATCTGTGTAATGTAGATCTGTATGTCCAGACAGGAAAAAAATCACCTGATGCTTTTTACTTCTACTCCTCTTTCATGAGTAAAACGTTGTCGGTCTTTTCTCCAAATGTTTCCAGATATCTATTAAGTACATGATCTGCAAAATGCATTATCCAAATAGTGACCTGTGTACAGTTTAATAGCACAGAGAGAAACTCTAAGCCATCAGACATAACTACAGTAATTGGGTTCCCCTGAAACTGGCCAGCAGCTCAGAGCTCCCATCCTTCCTAGCTAAAAATACTCGACTTGATCTGGGAACAAATGATCATTCCAGGCTCCCAGCAGTGTTGTTAGTTGGCTGAA